TAAATCCTCCAAACTATGGAACAATTACTATCGTTTCCATTATTTTTGCATGCCACTTCTTCAGGATGCGCATGTATCAATTTATCTCCAGGCAGACAGGAAATAATCCTTCAGCACTAGTGACATCACCATCGGCACCATCTACAGCTCTACGTTGGTAACGGACACCATGCCGACTGATCCTTCTTGACAACGACATACATGGGATTAGGAAAGAGAGACACCAACTCATGTCTGGATGTGCATCTAAAACAACAACAGCAAAAAGGAGAGAAACGGGACTGAAAGTGAAATGAGGAAGAGGCAGGCTCTGTGCGCTGTCCTGAGCTAAAATTACATCACAGCCAGCTGTTATCTACACTGCTGGATGAAGTCAAACAGCTGAAACAGAAACATCCCAATGCATGAAAGTACATAAAACAGCATCTTAAAACTGGAAATCTAAGAAAAACTTCTAGTTAGGTACAATAGAATAATATATATACATATAAAAAGTTCTAAAATGAAGCAGCAAATTTAATTTCCTGCGCTGTTCAGAGGCTGTCCAACTGGAACACGCTTTGATCTCCATCTAAATGCAAAAAGTGTCCTCTGACATTGAGCCCAATATTCTCCTTGATGCGCTCTACAGCTTGTGAGAGAATCATGGAGGAAAATCTCCATAAACTGCAGCATAAACTGAAGAGAAAAAAATAACGAAAGAAAGCAAACATGTTGAATGTACGTGTGTTAGTGCAATTCTGAGAAAACGACTAAATACGACTGGGATGTTAAGTGCTTTGATTGCCAGCCCAATCACTAATTATTGCTTCCTCTGTTCAGTTTTCAGTATGCAAATTGCAGAGCTGCTTTTGGTGTGGTAATACCCCTCTATGATTAGCTTTAATCATAGTTTTTAATAACGAGGAAGAAGCATTTCTATATAAGGATATTAGCCTGAATAGTGTTGATGTTTCTTTCATTAATTCTAATTTATTTCTTGCATTCACACACTTCTGAACAGTTTGTTGTTTGTTGAACATGAATAATAAAACTCCATAATACCAGCCTGAAATATCCAATATGATCATTTTTGTCTGTGTTTATTTAGATTTTACAAGTTAAAGGACAAAAGTAAAAACCTAAAATGAGAATCTATTTTAAGAATTAAACAAGCAAAGGCTTGAGGTGGCAAAATGAAAAGAGCAACCCTGGAACAGCCGCTGTGACCAGTAAGGGGTAATATAACTATCTAGCAGGAATAACTAAAATCTCTATTAGATACTTGACACTGAGGCTTGTTCAGCCTCAGCTTAAACCACTGTTATAATAAGTTTCTCTATGCAACACTGGCTATTTATGTAGGGAAATGACTATGAGACGGTGAACAGTAAGGGTACAGCAAGAGCATGTTCGCGTTTGGCAGTGGAGCCCAGGCCTAACAGAACTGCATGCATTATAAGATGTTTTCACAGGAGAGTGGGCTGAAGAAGTGCTGTATTAATATTGCATAGGAGGGCTGAAAGAGGTTGTGTTTGTTTTAATGCACTGAAGGAAAAGAAGGGAATGAATCTTAGCTCTTGACGACTGCCGTTTCTCTTTCTTCGCAGACATTAACAACAATGATAGCAATACTTTCCACTGTAAGGCTTGTCTTTACTGTTTGGCTAAAAATAAAGGTACATTTCCTTTCATTTTGAGTGGTAATAGTTTGAAACTCATTTAACAGGTTTCTTAAAGGGGAATGTCGTTTATGTTTACATAGGGCCCTTGATTTTACGTTATTACGTCATGTTCTACTCACCCATATGAGTTTTGTGTCATTTGTGTCATTTACTATTTTTACTTCCTACATATTTGCAGTTCAAACCATTCTAAACATTAAAATGCAATATCAGAAAACGGGAAGTCACGAGTTGGTTAGGAGGCAAATTCACAAGTCATGGCATTTTTTAACAGCTACAATAATTAAATGGTAATTTGTTTTAAAAACAATACCTGAGGTTTCTTAAATGTGGCTTAAGACATACTACTAGAGTAGATCAGTCCTGCCTACATCCATAGGCATGCAAAAAAACCCTATGAAGATTAAAACAACATTTGATTATAATAGGTATTATAACAATCCCAACAAGTTCAGAATTTGGCATCGCTGATAATGATTCTGTCCAATCGACGCCAACTGTAAGAACGTTCCGCCTGAATGCCAAAACAAGCCAGTGTAAACAAAGGCCACACAAACTGGAGAGTTTTATCAGCGACATGTCAAGGCACAATGTTACCTCATGCATTTGGCGCCTTGTCAGCAAAGTTTTAGGCAAAGACAAAAGGTAAAACATTTTCTACATCAAGTCAGTGAGGTTTTTGTTAAAGCAACATGAGAAAAGTGTTCTGTTACTGCACACCTTGCACAGAGAGCAAGAATAAAAAGGACACAAAGTCAAGTTGGCTGTAAGTAACGAAGTTGTGTCGGATGCCGCTTGCAGCTGCAAAAAGAGGTGAGTAAATACGGTACATGGATGAGGAGATGAAAATCAGATTTTTTGTTTTTAATCACACCTATAATCTGTTTGTGCATCAATATTTGTTCCCCATGCCAGCACACTGCCTTGGTTGAAGTTTATTGTCACATCTGTTGATTAAAAATCAAGCATTCTTTTTCCAAATTAATAATAACCAAGAAATGTATTTGAGATACAGATAACCAACCAGTAGTTTGTTGTGTGTTGATAACTGTTGTCTTTATCTTTTACATTTCTCCAAGACCTTCTTTTTTTGGTTTTTCTTATCCTCTAAACTCGCATGTCTAAATTGCACATTCCCCAATGACAACAAATAGCTTTTTATTAGACTTTTTTCTTTTTTTTAAGCAAAATTACCATGTCACTTATGCCTTTGTAATCAAAAATGTGGCTATGTCAGAGAGGCTGCTGCTGTAGCAGATAAGGAGAGTTTCACTTCAGGATAAATCATGAGCTCCTTTTGGTCAGTTCTTGCCAAGCTTCACGGACTGATTGACAGATCTTCTTTAACGCCAAACAAACAATTCTGAGCCAGCCAGCCAGGCGGATAGATAGACCAGGCAAACAGAAGATAAAAGGGACTAAATGAGATGGTGGATAATCACAGAAGTCATTAATTCAACTCTTTGTTGAGTTTAATGGTTGTGGTGTTGTCACCTGATGGTCCAAATAGGGGAAATATCCTATCCTGTGGTACATGATACTTAATGACAGAGATGATGTTAGTATCTATGTGTTGATTGTCTCAGTTTTATAATAATGGTCTGAAGAGTAGATGACGATGAAGGTTGCCCAATCCTTTTGCCTTTCCACTCTTCATTTTGTTACTGCCTAAATGAGACAAATTAGCATTTGTTACCGAGTCAAATGGACATATGGGATAAGTAATGGGTGAAGCGAGGTTTGGCCTTTTTCTTACTTATATACAATAACGTCCGCAACTGATACCTGTTAGATTGATCAAGCTATTCAAACATGTTGTATGAATACCGTGCCTTATGCTGCTTGTCCCAAAAACATCTTAAAATTCCATCTTTTTATTTTAGTTCCACTGCCTTGTATTCAACAGCTCCCCTCTCATCTCTGCTCTCCTCCTCAAATATTTTTACTCCCCGCTATGCCGCTCGTTCAGTCTTCCCCTCTCCGTCTGTCTCTCCTGTGAGCTCTTCAAGCTCCAATATTTGTCAAGAGATACTCTGCAACTGTCTTTCATCGTCTCTCGCACTGCCTGTTATCCCTGCTGCTTCAAGCTAGTTAACTCAGCTGTTTTTTTTTTTTCCTTTTTGGACTTCTGTCCCCATTTCCTTATGAGCGACAGCTCTGTCACAGATTCGAGTAATGGTCACACGTCCCCCTCAGTTGCCTCTACACTGTTGGCAGGGATGGCTATTTCAATTTCCAACTGAATGTGAAGAAATAAACAGAAACTAGTCATGTTTTTAAAACCTGATAGAGGTTTACCTTTAAACATAACTTGATGCATTAAACCTTTGATGTTCTTTGCTTTGACAATGCCTCTAAAGGTCTTTCTTATAAATGTTTCAGCTTTTTTTTCTTGCTCACTGAATAAATCTTAGATGTTTTTGAAGGGTGGTTTTTAAAGGATTTACATGAATTCACACACATGTGAAGATCTGTTGGACCACAACAAGTTCCTCATCTTTCTGTCCAGAACTCTCCTTAGGCACCCTGATCAGCTTAAATGCTCTGAGGACATGCGGTTGGTCAGGGCAGAGGTTTGAGGTCAGTATACATCGAGCGGCAATGCGTTTAGCTCAGTGGAGGAATTACCTCAAGAGAGACTACCACAGAAAGTTCAGCATTAACTAATATAGCAAAGCTTCAAGTCCCACGAGAGCTATCAGACTACACAAAACATACTGAATAAAGACACGTTTATCACATTTATTATCTTGGTATTGAGCCAATCTCTGGCTATTGTAAAAATCCGACCTGCAGAAACAGAGTTTGGAAAATTGTTTTTTTTTTTTTTTATATGTACCATGAGATGGGATAAGAAAGGCATTAAAAATATCTTTCCTTAACTTCCTGACTTGAGTGGTCATTAATTTTTCACATTAGGAGTAGAGGCAACGTATTTAGCCTCTCATATTTGCAATTAGCATGGTTATTGCAGCTAGCTATATTCGTTTCCCTCTTGGGAACGTCCCTTTCCTTAAGTCTGAGGTTTCCAAGAGGCTCTGAGCAGGCAGAGGTTGAATGCTCAGAGGAATAAAACAGAGCCAACATGCTGTAATGACGTCCACCTTTCCATATGATTTGTTATGACAGTGCATGTCTCAACTTAGTTCACTTAAAATCATCAGTTTACCAACATTGAATTTATTTTAAACAGATCCAATCAAATCTGTATCTCTATATTTACCTTTTAACAAAAGGAAATGCTACATAAAGTCAACATTGTGCAACTTTTTTGTGGAATTCAATGATTTAAATGACCTCAATAGTGTAATTTAGTCAGAAGAGTTTGAGGCCTACCGTCATGGTTGGGGTTTCCCAGCGTCCACGGTTCGTCGGAGTCAAAGTGAGTGTCACCTCCGATTCCTGGCCCCGGAAAGTATGCATGGGCAAGGAAGCCCCCCTCTCCGTCAAAGGGGGAGCTGTCCCCATGGAAACCGGAGGCGAAGATGATGGTGATGTCTACGTCCTTCTTGGTCCTCTCCAGCTCGCTGTAGGGCACGGCTTCAAAGCGAAGCGGCGTTACGCTCTGCCACACGTCGAAGGCTCGCCTGATGGCATCGTGGGTCTCATCAGCGCCCACTTTGGGAGTCACGTTCTTTATGCTGCCGAGACATGAAATTAAAGCATGAGAGCTTAGAGTGAAAAGCGCAATAAAGTTGTAGTTTTTAACCTCACTAGGAAACATGAGGTCACCAGTATTATACGCCTCACAACTAAAAATGAGTTATTAACATAAAACTTTCATAAAAACTGTTTTACTCATGGTTATGATACCCTGAGAATTCTCACACCAGATGTAGGCTAATTAGTAGACTTCAGCTATCCATTAGCTGAGGACTAAAACAGGAAAGCACCACTGCTGTCAATCCGGTGTACTTCACCTTAATGCAATGATTTAGAAGAATCTAAAAAAAAGTACAGTCGTTCTCCTCGCTTGGTGCCATTTCACGCTCATCCGGCTCGCCAACAGAGAGCTAAATAGAGCGATTTGTGAAAGAACACAGCTGAGCTCTCCCCTGCCGGCTTGGAGTTGCTGCAGGTGTGCAAAGGATGAGACAATTTCCTGCCACTGGAATTTATTTTCTAATTAAGGATTATCAACAGCCCACTGCCTGCTGAGAGCTCCAGTCTGGTTTGGGCAATCAGGAAAAGTTCTCACCAGTTTATTCCCCATGAAAATACCCCAGTGTCACAGTTTTTTTCTTTTTTTCCTCCAAAGATATATAGATATTTGAAGTTTCCATCGGTGGGAGGTTTCGTGTCCTGTTACAGTACATGGTGGATGTCTGGGAAAGGAGGGTGGCTGATGTTTAGCAGAGAAGCTCAGCGGGTGTAATAAAGCGTTCAGCTAAACAGCGCTGTGCCAGATGCTGTCTCTCTCTCCAACCAAAGCCTTCACGTTGGAGCCTTTCAACTTTATTCAAAATCTCAGTTTTTCTCTTTCCATCCCACATGTCTCCTTTGTCTACAGTCTGCCACCTTCTTGCCTTTATTTGCCTTTTTGTTTCAGCTATTCACAGCATCTATGCTTACCTGTCAAGCTGTCATTTCCCATAATAGGAGTAAATATTATCAGAAAGTTTTTGTCTGCTGCTGGAAGGCACATTTATATACCCTATATATCTGCACTTTATGGTAGCTGAGGTTTTCTATTGGCTCCAACATAACAGGTGGCTTTAAATCATGCTGATGAATCAGCAACAATGTCGAGCTAACATGGCCTCATTGCTACATCCAAATCTTATGAAAACATTGACAATATTTATATTCCATTGCTCATACGCAGGTATTTTACCTGTCTTTTTTTATCTTCTGTAATATATTAATTTAAAATTTATGGAAAGCAGCAAATCCTAATATAGAAAGTCAATAATTTGTATTTTTAACCATTTTATATTTACAGAAAAAAATTAGAGCCATTAAAAAATGTGCAATGAATTCGGATAAAAAGAAAAAAATTGAAATTTTAGATTCAGTGGACCCGGGGCCCTGATCCTCTTCTGTCTATATTAGAGAACATGTAAAGCAGAGAACACTTTTCTCCTATGAAAGTACTTTACTGGCTTGTTTGATATTCATACCTCCATTAAAAATGATATGCATTAAAGACCTTAAAATTAGGTTTCATAATATCTAAACATTAGGAGTCTAACGGTGCCTGTATGCGTATTGAATCGCCTTAATACAGACGTTATGCATGGGTGCAGGTGAGTTATTAATCAGCCTGAGGTGATTACTGCTTTCATCCAGGTGTCAACACACACATTTACTTCTATGGTATTGTTTTAGTTGACTTTCTTTTTTTTGCTTTTTGTTTTTTCGGTAGATATAATAGGATTCTTTCAAGTTTCCTGTGATACGGCCGTAATAATGCACCGGAAAGAGGAATTAACACATTTTAAGCTTGATCAGCGTGGACTGGAGCTGAGCTGACTGGAAACACACACACACACAAAAAAAGTCGTTACTCCAAATTAGTGAACGCTTCATATCAGAGCGCTAACGCAGCAGGAGACTCAAAGCTGACAATTTTGTGTTAACAGTGATTCTTAAAGCGTAGAGAGTTAAAAATACATTTATAGGGAAACTGTTGATGTTTTGCAGTTTGTCTCGACCACAAGAGAGAGAGAAGGACTTTAACAGGGCTGCAGAACAGTTTATGGTAAAGTTGTTTTATCCTTGGAGCTTTTATTAAAAATTTTAGATTTGGAAAATGTCAAAAATCAGAAAGTTTAGTGAAAGGAATTGGTAAAGAGGTTGTCTCTCTTCAGAGTACACACAGAACCTGCTCTTCTAGTAATGCTATCTATAGTAACAATACTGCACCTAATGTAGATATATGATGACAGTCACAGCCATAATATTCTGCTTTTATTAATATCTTCTTCACAAAATGTTCTTTAATATAAATCAGAATCAATTTGAATTGGTTTCAATACGTTAAATCTTCAAAATCTCACTGCAGCGTCTTGATACCAATGAATCCAAAAAAGGTATAAAGTTTATTTAATGAAGGCCCACCTGATGGTGTCTGGTCAGCAGGGTGGGGGCGGAGTGAAGCCTACATTAGATCTAAATAGAAGACATAACACTGCAAAAAATATAAATCCAAGTAGGTCAATTTTTGTTAGATTAAGTGCATTTTTCCTTGAATTGAGCAGTTAAGTGAGCCACTTTGCCAGTTGAAGAAAACAATTTACATTTAAAATAAGAAAAAAAATCCATTCTCTTATTTCTTGTTGATAATGTCTGATTATCCTATTTAACCCTGTAATAATATAATCATATTTGATACATACGGTTTCTAAAATGTTTTGCGTCTGACACCTTTTGCATAATTTAATGGTAAAAACTTTGTAAACAATCAGATATACCTGATAACAGAGGGCAGAAGACTACACAAAAAATATTCTTGACTTATCGCATAGTAATAAATTATTAATATCAAAAATGTATTTCTGTTTTTTCTTTTTACATATTTTGTTAAAAGGCCAAATAAGAACTTCAACCAAAAAAAGTTTTATTCTTGGATCGGGCTTTAAAGGGTTAAAGGGTAAAATTATTAATTCCATTGGATCATCTTATTTACCTACTTAAATTAAGGCAAATGACAGTTATTTTAAGAAACTTGTACACATTTTTATATTGTTTTTCCAGTGAAAGCAAATTGCCATTTTGTGTGCTGCCATGTTTTTTAAAAAACAAAATACCTTTTTCAGCTAACACCTTTCTTTACATATTTAAATGTTCCAAATGCGTTAGAAGATTTTAGGCCAATAGTGGCCTTTATTCACAGAGTTTCAGACAGGATGGGGCGGAGCGAGAAGTGGGAAAGATGAGCCTCACAGGTGGAGAAGTCGTGAACTATAGCTCAGGTTGCAGCATTGAGGACAGAAAGCTGTCCTATACATTAGCGCACCTAGTAAACGGTCGCAATGTTTTTAATTTCTAAAAGGCCATTTTTCCTGTCCATCAGCTTTCACTGTAATTTTGTTCTCTATAAAATCAGATAAATTGAGGCCCTTAGGGTTCCTACTGCTTTTTTAAAGGAAAATAAAAAATCCACACATCCAAATATGACAAACCATCTTCAGGTCTAGGGCTGCATTTAACGATTATTTTGCAAATCGATTAATCTATTTATCATTTATTTATTTTTTTTTACGATTAATCGATTAATAATCGGATGGCCAAAGGTTCCTTAAAGTTCTGGATAGAGCATATTGACAAACATCCTATCCTTAATGCAAAATGTTTATATATTCTTTTATCATTTTGATATAATTACTGCTCTAAGTGGGTTGCTCTGTCAGCTAAAGGCATATCCTACATTCGCTATAATCCAGTTAACGATTTATCGATTACTAAATATGTTGACGATTATTTCAATAATCGATTAATCACAATTAATCCCATAAACGGTTTCAGCCCTATTCGGGTCCTTATCAGAATTTTTCATGTCGTTTTGCTCCTTCACCGATTCAGAACACCATTTTGTACCCACACATTCCCATTATGTGCCTTCCTCCTTTCATTCTAGAACACCTACACACAAATAAGGACTGATATAACTAAACATTAAGATAACAGAGCAGTTTTCATGGTATTTTTTTTCATAAACCTTCAATAAATAATGATAAAATCAGAGCTAAAATGCTCATATGTTATTTAAAGGCACTCGTATCTAATCAGTCTGCATGACCGTTTTGTCAAAGCGGGTGAATACATCCCCCCGTTAGATAAAAATCATTGCATGGCTGGTATGAAACTTCCCATGAATTAAATTCAGGGCACACCTAAAAGAACTCTGATAAGACACCCAAAGACTGCAACACTGACCAGCTGAGTCACAGAAGTCACAGGTTTAGGCTTGACGGAGCCACTGCAAATCCTTTCCACCGGGTTGAGACCGAGCAGGGAGTCGGAACAAAGTCCGCTTTGTCCTTTAAATTAGGTTTTTACAGCAAATAGAAAAGCAAGAGCGATAAGCAAATGAAGTGCTCTTCAAACCCGTAACACCTGACCATGACAATTAAAGTGAAACAAATGTGCCTCCTGAGGTGCTCTCCCTAAAACACATGACCCTGCCCTGCTCTGTTTAAGTGCCCTCAACAACTGCAGCCCCTTGAGGATAAAAAGAAAAAGAAATTAGATTTTATTTGAGTCTGTAACCTAACTTCCTGCATGCATGCCCTTCTTTAAAAGCAAGGCAAGAGAGAACTGTATATAGAGAAAAAAAATAAAAACAGATGTGAAGATTCCCAGGCTTTGTCGGGTCCATGAAGGATATTAAAAGTCAATGTTGCGAAGTTATGATGCATCCGGATGCAACCCATGTGCTGTAATAGCACCTGCACACAGGGAGAACAGTGGGGAGGCCAAAGCTAATTAGTGCCTCCACACTGAGAGTACTGTATGTGGCTACATAGAAACTAGCACGCACCCGAGGCAATCATGCATTTCTTATGCTTTCCAAATGCCAGCAATGTTATTTAAGATTATTTTAAGCCTGAGAGTCTGAAGCAGCAAGACAGAAGTTTTAAGAGAGACTTTATGAGGGAAAATTGTTTCCATGAAACAATAAACATGAGGAGTTGCTTAAAAGTCGAACTTGTTTTTTCTTAATCCTTTGGTTTATTGTTTGATGAGATTCACAATAAATATTTAATTAAAACAGCCACTTCAATGTATTTTACAGCGTTCGGTGGGAGAGTTTTCAAAATGTCTGATCAGTGATAATCTGGGAAGTGTGGCAGGCATTTGAATTCTACAATGTTGATCCAAATCACTGTGGAACCACACATCTGCAGCTGCAGCTACAAATCTTTTGCTGTATGTCCTTTCCATTTATCTACATCTTAAAAAAAAAAAAAAAAAAAAAAAAAAAAAACAGCAATTATTTATATGAACGGAATTAAATTTCCAAAGTTTCAATTCTGTACTTGAGTCTGCAAATTTATGTGGAGGTTATAGATATGAAAAAACAAGAAGGAAGGAAGACAGGAACATGTAGAGGAATAAAACAGAGAAAGTTGGGAAACAAGAAGGGAGGAACATATAGGAAAATAAGACAGACAGTTTTTATGAGACAAAGGTACTGTAACGTGAGACGCAATAGCACTGGGAGGATTTTCCCTTCAGCTGTTACACCAAACTCTGAAACTTTAAAGTCGTAGGGAAGCGGCTGTTCCAACGGTTGCATTTCCGAATTCTCCCGAGTGACTAAACACGAGTGAATAAAGTGAACGTGATTGGTCGTTTATCAAGGGGGCGGGATTGTTGTTGTGGAAGGTTCACAAGCAAGTTTGGTTGTGGCCGGTGTCTCTGAAGCATCTTGCTAACCAGTTAGCAACTTAGTGCTAGCAGGTTCCCAATGGGAAATTCCATTGGGACCAAGTAGCACTAAAATTGGTGACTTAAAAACGACACTGTAAAGGAACGCTATGGACAGCGGAAACATGCAAGAGGAGGAGAGTTTTGTGTCGGAGGTCGTGGATGAGTCTCCTTCGTCATACATTTTTTATTTAGAGGAGAAAATCAGGGATGAAGATGTAGTGGAAGAGGACGCCAGGGAGGCAGAAGCTTGGTTTGGTGTAGAAGGCTTACAGCCGTAAATGTTTGAGCCCTTGCCTCGCAGCGCTGCCAGTTCTGTTAGCTCTACGCCTGCCGGAGACACAGACGTCCATCCCCGTGAAACACTGGGACGCAACTCAATGGGAAAGGAAATGATTAGGGATGCATGATATAATCGGCCCCCTATCGGTATCGGCCTGTATCGGCCTTAAAAGTGAATATCGGACATCGGCCACCCCACCGATATTTAACCCGATATTTGATCAGCTTCTGAGTTTCTAAAGTCTAAAAAAAAAATAAAAATACTACTTCTTCTTCCTCAAAAACTTCTTTTTTACAGACTTAAAAATTTCTAAAGACGAAGGAAAAAATATTGATACATTAAAATATCACAATATCTTCGTATGCTGATATATTACCATTTAAAAACACCATATCAATCTCTTTTACTAATGAAATATTGCTATATGTCATCGTTATGCTACGAAATCCCCCGAAAATTCACGAAATTTTGCCATATTTTTATATGTTGATATATTGACGCGGTATCGATCTATTTTACTAACAAAATCTCACAAGAATTTGCGAAATATCACGAGAGTTTGTAACAGAACGATGAAATTTCAGGAGATTTTGAAAGTAAAATAGATCGATACCGCGTTTTTAAAAATCTATTTGATGTCAGCATATGAAAATATATTTGAGTGTATTATTTTTCAAAGTGTCAGAAATGGATAACAAAACTGCTATTTTCAATGACTACTTATTTTTTGTCCAGCTTTAACATCGGTATCGATATCGGTTATCGGCTACATGAGTTTTAAAATATCGGCATATCGGATATCGGCCAAAATCCCAATATCGTGCATCCCTAGAAATGATTCCTATTTCTTATTTTAACCGTTGTGTATATTAGCTGCAACACATGAATCAAGATGCTATGACCGAAAAAATTTGATTGACAGATGACTGTTGATATATGATTGGCCGAATTTAGGTGTTCAAGCTGACGTATAACTAACTGGCCTGCATAAGGTAATGGAAGAAAGCCCCCAAAGATTTTAAGACAAAATTTTTTTTTTTCAAATAGAAATTTTCTACATTTTGGGACAATATTGTCTGATAAAGAGTACATTTACATACATTTTTAAGCCAGAATGATTTGACATTTAAATGACTTCCCTACAACTTTAAAGAGATTAGAGGAATTTAAGGATGAATCTGCTGCATTACGTTTTGCACCGATTTGAGATAAAATGAGCAGCTGCAGGCATGCAGGGGGATGGACAACAGGCTGGGCTTTCGTCCACCAAAATGAGAAACACACATACGTACACGAGGCAGGCTGGTGAATTTAAGATTCTTCAAACTTATTACATAACTCCTCAGCTTCAGAGAGCACTCTTTGGCCTTCTACCAGGATGTCCTGCTCATCCTTCCTCTCCTAATGCCTTTCTTTCTGCAGCTGCTTCTCCTCCACACTTTCCTCCCTCCTCATTTTACACCCCTCCGCTCTTTATCAAGCTCCCCTCATCCCCCTTTCCTTTCATTCGGGTGCCGACGCAGATGTGCCACTCACTCGCTGGAAGGACTAATTTTAAACTCAGTCCCAGCTGAGTTTGACCAAAAAAAAAAAAAGTATGCAGTTGTGGCAGCCGTGATGTAAAGTTCGGCTGGGGCTGTAGGTTATGATACACAGATTGGATTTACTGTGTAATACTGCTTATACAGTGATCTCCAAGGCGGAGAAAAAAGAAAAATGACAAAACAAGATCAATTGTAGGGGATTATTAGATGAAACATGGAGCTGGGGGCAAGCGATCTTCTAGAAGCAGAAGAAAATATTACAAAATGTGAGCTAGTGCCATCACTAAATCAACAGAGTAATATTATATAACCAGAGCGAACTGTCCTATACATTACTGCTCATGGCGCTGGATGTCAGGGAGGGGGGTTATGAGTTATGAAAGTGGTGATGAGCTCTCTGGTCCGAGATTTGTCGTGCAGCCCGCGTTCCTGTAGCTTGGCTGTAGGGTCATTGGTCGCTGAAGCGAACGTTTTGCACAGCTTGAGACGGCACGGCTTTTTGGCATTGAGCAAACTCACACTTTAGCTGACCCTCAGTTCTGCACTTTTTTAAAGTTTTTATCTGAAACGTAGAGAAAGCTCCCCTCTGTTGACTTGGTTTGGCCGGTGCTTGTTCACTATATTCAATAGATTTCGCTCTAACATTTTACTGAGACATATTGGAAAGTTCTGTAGGGTAACAGAGCTCTTAAAGCATTCCCTACAAGGAGTTGTATACAATAAGACGCCATGATGCACTGATTCTTTAGTCTGGGATCAGCTTAAATGTGTAAACAGCAGCTCTAAACGTTGAAAATCTGATTCTTTTTTAAAAGAGAAAGTACAGGTTGTTGCCCAACTGAACACACCTCATCTTAAAGCTACTAGCTCATCCAGATGACACTCCTCGGAGTGGAAGCTGTGACTAAAGAGACACAACTCAGTATTATCTGTTTCCAGTGATGGTGAGATGCTTTACAGGAGGTCAGATGAATCACAGAGATGTAAAAATAAACTATTTCCCTCATCATGTGTGAAAGAGAGTAAAACACATGAAGATAACAGGAAGGGTGGAAAGAGTGATGAGTAATTGCTCTATAACTTCCCATTGAGCCTTCAAACTGTGTCCAGATTGAAAGTTCTTTATCCGGATATCCCTGCAGCCTTTTGAAGTTCATGTTTGGTTATAGGTCTAAAAAGAAAAAACTTGAATTGACTAAAATATGTGGAAGCTTAAGAAAATCTGAATAATAATCATCAACAAAACTGAGATAATTGCTTCTTTAGTTTAGAGAAATGCACTTGAAGGATTTGGCTTTGGACAAAATTAAAATCACCATGTGTGAACAAACAAAATATAAAGTAGTAGCCATTCAAACTGCTTAATGGGTCCTTGGCTGGTCCCCTACAATTCCTTTTTAAACACCAATCTTTGTACTTAAACATTCTTTCTGTAATGATTTGTGGACAATAAGTTCTAAAGAGAAGCGCCATCTCCTGGTTAGACCCTGTAATTCATTGGAAGGGTGGAGTCAGAGTAAAAGAATATACAGGAGGGGGTCACTCCTTCCACGGCTGGAAGTTGGAGGGGATTTTGCTTGGAGTTGCAGGGAAGTGGGCTGATATTCGGCTGGCGTTTGACTCGAAAGGGCCGTTTTGAATGGCTGCTGCATTAGATCTAGTTTTTAAAAGCTCAAGACCCACCTGTATGTGATATGTTTGTGCTGCCACTTCTGGCCTGTGAGGGCGTATCGTTTTTTCCTGACGCTGAATCTGGATGCTCCGCCGAGCTCGTCAGGAACCCCACACCTGGGCCTCTTCATCCACCTACCGGGCGAAGGTAAGGGAGCCACAGATCAGAACAGAACTTAATTATTTTGCAGCTGAAAGACACTGAGCTACTTTTAAAAAAAGCTAACTCCTATCCATGATAGAACAGAATGAACCAAAAAAAGTCATACAACCTTTTAACATTCCTTAGGTTTAACTGTAAGACATCAGCATAAATGTATTAACAGAGACGATGTGCCTCACCTTATGGTGTTATCGCTACATCAACCAACGGAAGCAGCAGGGGGAAAAGAAGCAGACAAACTGTTAGCTTATCACATTTTACTCTGTTTCAGCCCCGTGGTTGAACAGCTGTTAGTCCACCACTCTATAATCTAACAGTTCAGCGGCCAATCTGAGCTCATTTGCTCTTTGTAGCACAGATGGCATTTTCAGCCAGTGAGGACAAATATCACAGGATGTTTAAAAAAAGTATTATTAAATGGTTTAAAACTCAACTTTATGGGTTTCATTGATTTCTTGGAACATCTAATGTTTCCTCTCTGATTACTTTAACTATCTAAAGTAAGACGTGTGGCCCATGAGGTCCAGCTGATTGAAAATCAGCCTGAGCAATTATTGTCCCTTTTTCTTCTGAGGCATTTTCTATCCTTTGATCCGACATCGGAGATTAGCTGTTTTCAAAAGGTCTGTTTGATCCATTTAAAAACATCCCGTTTAATCTATGTCGAGGCTAATTTGTGTCTCCCTCGCCTTCAGAATCTGGGTTGGATGAAAAATGCGGTAATCAGTTGCATCCCGCCCTGAATATGAACTCTCATTTTATTCAGACGCAAGAAGCAATTTTTATAAAACAGTTTTTGAGATGTTTAACCCACTTGGTTTTCAATCTTTGTAATAACAAATGTATCCGTTGCTTTCTACGTACCCGAGTATATCTTAATACCTGTATTCCTTTATTCTTTTAATATTCAGAATTAAGGCAAGAAATTAATAGACCCTTGATCTAGGCCACATTTGAACCATGGCTGCTTCCTGACTAAAGTTTAACACTTTTTCCTGAAGGGTAAAGTTTTCTTTTTCCAATATTTAAACAAGTGTTCAAAACATGCTCTTTTGGGACCCCTCTTTGCCCCTGAGAGCATTATTTATTGTACGGAGAACCCATGAACATATAAGGCTATTTTCAAAGTAAAAAGATCTTTGTTGAATATTTACTTACTATATTAAAACATTTTCAAAACCAATACATCAAACAGCTCTGGAACATCAATGTCAAGGCTCAAATAGAGTGAAATGTGCGATAAGATGAGCTGTAAAGTCATTACTTAAAAAGTTTTGTGTTTTGTAAACTTATGAAAATGCTGATCGAGTTCTGGACATTTTTTTCCTTTCTGCCTTTTTTAGTTTTGTTCATTTTGAGCAGGACTCCTTTGGTTTGAAAAATGAAGCTGTCTGAAGATGTCATCTGTGCAGATCAAAGTGAATATGTATCGATTGCTGTACGCCGTCTGGGACGCTTCATATCCACTATGACGGTTCAGGATTTATCACAGTTTTCTGTAATCTACTTACAGTCTACTGTAAGGAAATGTGGTTATGTTACTACAATAAGCTATATCTACCGTCAGAGGGTCTACAGTCATCTACAGTTTTTCAAATATAAACTCTGATAGATATAGATATACTAGATTGGCTCTTATGAAATATAAATAATTTGCAACTACAAAGGAAGAATGGCATTTAAGTTTATGGGAACCAAATATTTGACGGAAAGGTCATAGGTCAAAGAGCAGAGTTGATTATGGGCCTACTGATCAATCAGTAGTATTCCAGCTATCATAATGTTATTTACCGAATCTAACTGTATTGTAAGGGAATGATGAGGTAGGTAAAATGTTTTTTTTTTTACTCACTCTATAGTGTTGCTGTCCAGATTCCCTGTGACATTTAGGCCATAGCGGCGCTGCATGGCAGCGATAGCAGAATGCATGACTCTGGCAGAACGCAGCACGGACATTCTGGGGTCTGCAGGAGGTAGGTAGCCATACCTCTGGAGCCACACCTGGAAGCAGGGAGACGAAAAGAGAAATAAGACAAAAATCATACCCACACAGGAATACAAAAGCCTTCAAAAGTCATTATAAAGGCAACAGTAGAGCTCCTTGGCACTGGTGGAAAGAGTAACAAGAAGCACTGTTTTTCTAAAGTTAAACAAGTCTGCTTTATAAAAATATCTAACTTCCTTTATCCTTTATTTTTATTTTTTTTCTCCCATTTTTAGGACAAGGGGTAGCAGCACCCTAACTGTCTTTGTTAGTAAGAAAAAGATAAAGGTTTAGAAGTAAAGCACCTGAAATGAATCACTGTGATTTTTTACAAACAAATTTTATTATCCTCTAAAACAAATATGAATTTCTTGCACTAAGAAATGTCTAAATTGATATGAAACCCTTTTTTACTCATATTTCTTCTCAAAATAACAGAAAACAAATTTTAGAAAACATCGGTACAGGCAAAGCATTCATTTTTTGGGTAGTTATCAGGTTTGTGGGATATTCATCTTCAGCAGAAAAACAATTTCAGATTTTTAATGGCATCTAAAGGGCTGTTGAAATATGTATATTATCAGTACATTTCTATCAACTGCAACAATACAGTTGAAATCCTAACATTAAATGTCTCCTCCTCAAAAAGGCTGGTAGCTAGTCAACCTCAAGGGCTTAGCCAGGCTCCATCTGTGCTTTCATCTATTTTTGGATGACAAATTCCCATCAAAAAGGACAGTAAACAAATAGAAAAAAAAACTCTATACTCTTCAAAGATCACAAACAGTTTGTATAGTTGCAATCTAAAGGAGAAAAAAACAGCGCAGAAACATCAAATATTGAGCTTACATCAATGACATTTTCACTTTTACATGGTGAAGTAAAATGGAATGAATACAACATCACTGGTTTATTCTCAGTGACTCAATGATTAATGTATACTTTTGTGTTTTTAAAGCACCATCCACACAGAAACACGGTTTGGTGTAAAGATATTAGGCGTCTTTTTTAAGGGATGCAGCTGTAGCTCTATCCTCCCTGTAACCTGTTGCTTCCTGAGGATAGGAACATATGTTTACCTCGTATGAGCTGCTAAGTGTTTCAGTCAACAGTTTTGGTGTCATCCTGGAGCAGCAAGGGCTGCAGCAGCATGTAAACCACCCACTGGTCTTCTAGACCCGATGGGTTAAAGAGCTACTGTCCAACATTGAAGACCTTTTGGGACATAATGGTACTGTAGGTTGATGGAAAAAACATTTTCACTGAATTAAAAAAATCACCAAAAGCAGATTTTATTTTATTTTTTCGTTTCGTTTGGTTCACACTCAAATTGTACATTTGCAAGTGGACTAAAAACGTACAGAAAAGCCACCTGTGTGGATCGTTGCTCTCATTGGTCGGTAATGACTACGGTTGGACAGAGCTCATACCCATAAAAAAGATAACCAGCCCAGGAGTCCTATTTTGCATATTTATGCTTTCATCACAGCAGCAAAACCACTTTGATTCTGAAGAGCAGCTTAGCCAACGTGTGATTTTTTTTTCTTTCTTCAAACTGTATCAAAATTGCGTCCTACAAGCCGAAATCCACCACAAGCGGGCGGCTGTGTTCTAAAGCATGAGACTTAGGAACACACATGGTTTTAATACGTTGACTACAAAGGGGGCAGCTGAGTCCCAAGACATGTATGCTTCCTGTATTTAGGTAGGACTGAGGTTTCAGGTAAATATTGAACCGTAATATTATCACCAAAGGCTTGTGATGGACTGATGAGCTGTCCAAAGTGTTTCCTATCTCTTATCCAATGACAGCTGGAGATCGGCACCAGCCAAGCAGTCACTTGTTGGAATCACTGACATTGTAATTAGGGTTGAGATTAAATACATGCGCAGAGTTCATTTCTAATGTGGATGTAATGCCCAAATAGGAGATAAATTGTCCTTTTTTCTGTTTCCACTATTTAAAGTAAGGTTAAAAGACGAAAAACCATTATCTGAATTTGTTTAATATAGAATTGGGTTTGTTTAGTATTTTAGATTTGTACCACAAATTATCAAAAGCAAAAACAACTTGTTTTTTTTTGCACCAATTCAGAAGATTAGAGCTAGAAACCATCTATTGTGTTGTCCCATTTTCTTTCAGGGGTAAAGTGCACAGGCTTGATATAACATAAATTGTTTTAAATAATCTACAGCTCTTAAGATTAATGAAATTTAGATTTAATGAGCATAGGTGTTTGAGACAGATTCAGCAAATTAAATGAAGCTTAAAAAATCTTAAGATCCCATGGAAAAATTTAAATCACATAAAACAGGTTGACAGATGTTATAATAAAGCAACATATATGTAAGGCTAAAATGAATAGAAATGTATTAATTATCGACTCATTTTCACTATCAGGTGATCAAAGGGGATATTAGCAACACAGAGCAAAGGAGGGGATAGACTTTTCTATGGAAGTGGAGCTGGCGATCTGTTCATAAACACTGAACAGATTTACTAAATTCCATTCAAACAAAACAAAGCCAACAAGATTGTCTTGGTGTTTGGTACAAAACGAGGAAAAATCTCATCTCAGAGTCTCAGAAAGCCCAAAAAAACTCAGACTATTCTACCACTACATTCAGCAGAGCTGCACTGAAGTCTGAGTACAAATGTAGACAATACTGTTGAGCTGTTTCTATCATCAAAGTCGGCCGCTGCTCAGGATGAAGCAGGATACACACTGGGAATGAAATTCACCAAACGGGGAGGGAAACACAGCATGACAGGGGAGGGCGGGAAAAACGATCACTCAAGTAGGGCAGAAATGTGAGACTACAGCTTCGGTTACACCTAGAGAGCATCCAGTGAGAAACAGATGCATTTAGCAAGCTCTATGTGTGGAATATCTGTAAATTCAGACAATGTATATCTGTAATCATAGTTTGCCCAGTACTCTGCAAATATACATGTAGAGTTTTACTAAAGAGTTATTTTGCAAACAAACAATTGTGCAGATGAAATACATTCTTGTTAATATTGTTTCCTTGTTTTATATATATATATAAATGGTTTAACAAATTACTTTACTTGATTACCTGATGCCGAATGGAGAAAAGGGCTGCATCTTATTAACCAAGAGGTTGTCATATTTACATACAGCTAAAATCTAAAACACTGCTCCCTCAGACTTTTCAGCACTGTCTTTTCCCATACATTTCCCTATTGCCTTGCTGTTTCCTTCTCCATTCCTGTCAGCTGAGAGCATTACAATGTGTGTCATGTTCACGGGTGAAATTTTCATTCATCAGCTCAGCTGCTGAAGCTCCTCTTTGCAGACTCTCCCCGGCGAACTGGCACGCAGACCCACAAGCATGCAAACGCCCAACATACCAGCAGACACACATTCAACAGAAAAAGAAGGACGTGCTGCGACATCAGACATTTCAATATTTATACAAGAGTCCACAGCAAAGACATTATTCAAATAAGATGCAGATCATCGTAGCATATAAGCGACTTAAAATTACTTCAAGGTTCACATTTAAGGTAAAGCTGAATCTTCACCAGTCGGGTGATGAAAGGTTTGAAATAGTTTAACAAGGATCAAAGTGTGTTGTCTAGCCGACTGGGTAAGAGCTGCAAAACTGAAGCTTGTGTCCATTGTTCCCAGTCTACAGCGGTAAGGATCATAGGTAAGCGCCAAAAGTGATGGATGGACAGGAAGTGGTGGAAAGGGTTATTGGTTCTCAAGGCTTCCTAAAGCACGCTCGACCAAACGGACAGGCTGCATTAGTTTAAATTATTGAGAAGCTAATGCTGGCTCTATTAGAATAGTGTCAGAGTACAGCGTGTACTCTATGAAGTATGGGGCTGTAAAGCTGCAAACTAATGCTGGCCGTCATATATTTACATGTAAAAACATACATTTTAATTTCAAACATCCACGTTCTACTTTATATAAGAAATCTATAAATATTAGCAACATACTAAAACTTCTCTAATACATATTTATTTCAGAGTTAAGCAGACTGCTACATTCACAAGCATCTAAAAATTGGTTTGGTATAATTTAAGCACACAGACTCTGAGGAGTAAAGCCATTAGGGGGGAATACAGCTCCAGAGGGCAGTACTTGAAGCCGGTGCAGCTTTTATCAGATTCAGAAATGTATTAAAGTCATCAGGGAAACTATGAGCCAATCTGGACTGACAGTTGTTGTGTCTGATGCACGAAGGCACTGACAGGATATCGGACGATTTTGTGTGAGCATGCAGGAGGTGAAGTGCTGTTCAGGGTCCCGCATGAGGCTGAGATGGATAGATGGAGGTAGGGTGTGCAGGGTGTAGCTGTCACGCTGGTTCTTTATTCACAACATAACAGAAGAGGGCAGCCCGTGATTCCAAGGAAATGTTCTGCACTGGCAGCAAACGCAGTAAAGATGGTCCCTCAGGTCACCGTGTTTCTTCCTTCTCAATGTTCTTACAGCTATAAAAAAGAAAAACCCTGACAGTGAGATCAGCTCAGCAGGCCTGGGTCCTCTCCAGGTATTCCACTCTCCGTCCACAGTCTAAAGACTTGAAAGATTTGTTAATTGATCTGTCTAAATTTCTCTTATGAATGATTTGCTGAATAATGATCAGGTATAGACCAAGGAATACTGGACAATAAGCACAAGCAGTTATAGACGAATAGAAGTGTTGAAAAGCTAATGCAAACATCTCATTTTGGTGCTCAAAAGTTGAGCTTCCAATTTGTACATCTCAAATAACCAAAAACAAATTATACGTTTTCTAGATACTCCTTCAACCCAAATCATGTGTGGCTGCAGAGAAACCTAAACAGTTCAGACACTCTATATTTGCAGATTTAGTGCAACACCCCCAACCCCTTCTCTGGCTAAAATTGAGAACAAAGTAGATCCTTTGCGCTGTTGCCTTCAAGCAAGAAGATCCTAGGTTCATTTCCTGAACTAGGGTTTTTCCTCCATGGTTTTTATGTTCTCCCAGTGCATCTGTTGGTTCTCCCAGGGTA